TCAATAGAACTATAATTGTAATGCTTCTGAAAAAATGAGCACTAAAAATGTACTTATTCTCTTTTTTTCGGCTCGAGGGACCAACAATAGACTTATTTCCGACCTATGCCGGTCGGCCCATGGCCTTTTGCGCATGCGCGGGCGCACTTTTCCTCCCCCAGGCCGCAACCTGGGCTTGGGCCGGAAAAGAGGCCTCACTCTCGATCCCTCTTGGGCCGATTTCGGCCCGGACGACACCGGCCGTCCGATCTCTAGGGTTTTGATCGGACGGCCGAGCGTCAATAGTGGGGAAACAAAACCCACTCCCTCTCAGCCGCGGAACCCTAGCCCATTTCCCTCCCTCCCATCTCACTTCGCCGCCCTCTCCTCCGCGCCCCCGAGCGGCGGCGGCGACGACGGCGCCCCTCCCCCACCACCGATGGCGGCGGCGGCGGCAGCCCCCCCACCCACGGCGGCGTCGGCGGCATCCTCCCCCACCACCGGCGGCGGATCTAGCGGGAGGGGAGGCGCCCCGCGAGCGGCGGCGACGGCGACGGCGCCCCTCCTCCCGCGAGCGGCGGCGGCAGCATCCTCCCCCACCACCGGCGGCGGATCTAGCGGGTGGGGAGGCGCCCCGCGAGCGGCGGCGACGGCACCCCTCCTCCCGCGAGCGGCGGCGGCGGTGGAGTCCTCCCCCACCACCGACGGTGGCGGCGGCGCTCTCCCCCACCACCGGAGAGTGCCCTCTGCCGCCGCCACCGGCGGATCTAGCGGGAGGGGAGGCGGCGGCGGCGGTGCTCTCCCCTCCACCGGATCCACAGCGACGGCGACGGCGGCGGTTCGGCAACGACGGCGACGGCGACGGCGGCAGCGGCGGCGACCCCCTTCGATCTAATTTTTTGTTTTTATTTGGATATATGTGTGCTGGCGGCGACCCCCTTCGATCTAATTTTTTGTTTTTTTGCAAAGTGCTATAAGGCTGCATGTGATTCTTTGTTATGTGCTATGATTTTTTATACTATGTATGTATATATGCACTTGTTCTCCTGGTGATGCTAACCGAATAGGACTTGGTATAATTCAAACCAAGTCCTATTCGCCCAAACAGAAACAAAGTCCTAATCAGCTCAAACGAAAACAGATGGGAGTTTGTTTCCTATTTTTGTGGAATCGGACATATTCTTTTACCGCGTTGATGAATCGGATTCGTTCCGGTTTTTTTTCACCCGGTTTTTTTGACGGACGATGGAAGCACCTCTTATTTTTTAAGTAGTAGTAGATATATATATAGACCGGCCGGCTGATCTCAATCACCGCGCGGCGTGATGAGGCCATGAGGACAAATGGAGCACCAGCTAGGCCGGCAGCGGCAGCGCCGGCGAATGAAGATATGTATGTTACTCCCTCCGTTTCACAATGTAAGTCATTCTAACATTTTCCACATTTATATTGATGTTAATGAATCTAAATAGATATATATGTCTAGATTCATTAACATCACTATGAATGTGGGAAATGCTAGAATGACTTACATTGTGAAACGGAGGGAGTAGCACTTATGCAGATTAATTTGAGATAGGATAACATTGTTAAAATTTCGAAATAACCAGGACGGTTTTCTTGACGGGGCCGGTCTGCATTTGACCGGTCATAACCGGCTGAGTCCGATCGGATTTCACCAGGTCTCAGGTTTGCTTCGCATGTACATGTTTGCTTCGGATTTTTCCTTTTTCCTGTTCAATGTTTGTTGAGCCGGGACGTCGCTGCTATAGCACGTCTCATGCACCATCCTCGGGGATGGCAATCACCTTAACCGATCGTGGCACATATGTTGGGTCGTGGCCCCTGTGTCCACATTTGTAATCTTGTACAATAAAAAGGCGACGGAAAACCGGAAAGCAACAAGTTCTACACTGCACCAAAAATCTATATATGTATGTTTTGTGCTGTGTCTAGGTGTTCTACTTGTGTTCTTGTGTCCAGTTAACGCGTGTTGTTCAGTGTGTTCATCGATTGCGGATTACGGTTTGGTGCTGACAAGTGGTATGAGAGCAATGTCGGAGCCAACCTTCACCCACGGGACTGGTTCACACTCCCCGCCGCGTGAGCGCCGATGGCCGCTTTCGCGACAGCCCCGACAACACGATGGTGGATCGAGTCGCGAGGTGGTCGTGCAGCGCGTGGTCAAGGAGATCGGTGGATCAGCGAACTACCCCATCCTCCCAAGGTGGCTCGGCGACCTCCCTCATGATGCGCGTGATGCTTCAGGTATATGGTCCGTGGGATGTGATCGAAACCGGCGACAGCATATACCAAGAGTACAGGATGGTGCTGGAGAGTGTGATCCACATCATCCCCGTGGAGAAGGTCTCTACGGTCACCGTGAAGCCGTCTGCGAAGCAGGCATGGAACACTGTAGCCACGATGCAAATCGGGGCTGATTGCGTGAAGGCAGCGAAGGGGCAGTAGCTTCGCCGGGGCTACGAGATGATCGCATTCCGCGATGGAGAGTTAGTGGATCAATTCCCTGACGACACAGCTCGCGGTCCTTGGTGACCTGGAGGCCGGAGCCATCCCACAAGGTGGTGATGAAAATGTTTTGTGCCGTCCCGGATAAGCTGGAGCACATCGCCACATCGATTGAGACTCTCTTGGATCTCTCGACCCTGACGGTGGAAGGCGTGACCGGGCGACTGAGCGTCGTTGAGGATTGGCTCATGTTTACTGATGAGAAGTGGGCTCGCTCTCTAGAAGGAGCGGGCAATGTCGGAGGGGGCCTCTGGGTCTTGCTCGATCAGGGCAGCGGGGACTTGGCAGTTGATGCCGCAAGGAGAAACAAGATGTCCGGAAGGACTCCCGCCGCGATGCAAACTGCGGCAAATGGTGGCGACGGTGGAGGCGGGTGCTACGCCTGCCGGAATAGGGGCAATATCACGCATGTCCAAAAGTCGCCCAAGTACCCCTCAACAAAAAAAATCCAAAGCAGCAATTTCTTAATGAAGATTGAGATGACGAGGGCTCCGATCTAGAGGAGAACGCACTTCGGTCGGGTCGTATCTCCTAAGTCCGAACTTGGCGAAGAACTTTTTGTCAGAAAATCCGCCTCTTGAACCCATCTCATCGAAATCCTGAAGCACCAAGTTTCTTTACCTAGCGCGCCCTTATCGACAGGCTATGCCCGCCTACGATATTTGTATAGAATAGGGATTGTTGGTGCCAGGGTATACGTGAGATTAAGGTAAACGAGATGGGTGACCGAGATTTTTATATAGGTTTGGGCCACTTAATTGGCAGGTAATTGTCCTACTTCTTTTGGTTGAAGCCCATGTTGCTTTTATATATCAACTAGGAAGGTAGCCCGCGTATTCGCGTGGGCATGTATCGTATGTTCCGGTTGAGACACTTACAGGAGAGAGATATTAACCGGATAACACATGCCATACTTCAGAAGTATGATTGCTTCAAAAATTTTCTTGTTAGCGTTGTTGAGATAATTTTTCTAACCTATTAGTGTTGTTCTAATTATCTAAGGCAATTATTATGCAATGGTTAATGCAATAGTTGTTTCAAAGTTTATAGCACTTCACAAATGGCGAAAGATCATTTTCTTTGCTCGGATTATTTGAGCACATTACTTTTATAAAGCTCATGAAGCAATCAGATTGTTTTATCTATCTGGTCTTTTATGTAGCGGCTTGGACTATTCAAATGTGAGTCAATTTTTTTTATATAGTGTATATCTAATTTAGTTATTGATGTTTGCGAAATAATGTATAATGTTGTGATTGGTGTTCTCAAACTATTTCATATTTTTTATAGCAATTTAGATAACATGTAATGGGGCAGTGATGTTTCTCCCTCTAAATATTATTATGTAGTGTCTTGGACTATTCATATTTTTCTTAGGTACTATATATCCAATTTAGTTATTCATGTTTGATAAATAACTAGTTAGCGTGCACGTGCAAGGCACGTCGAATTATATCTAATGGAGTACACCATGTTGTTTTTTTACACTAACAATGAAGAGAAGAGAAATATCAATTCACAAAAAACTCATTGCTCGAACCAATCGAGATACAATTTCGGTTGTCAATCATGTTCGAAGGACGTGCGTTTGGACATGCTTAAGCATTAGGAGCACAGACCCACCTGGGAGCGTCCAACCCTAGCACGTGTGGTCGCTTTCTAGCGTGAGGTTCTGAATGAATAAATGACATTGCAGACTATTACTTCATAAACATTAATATGCGGATGAAAAACATCCCAAGGTTTGTCCAGATAATGAACTCAGTAGATAACGATAAACTCCAGAGCAAAACATGGTTGTCCAAGGTTATGAAAGATACAAGTCCAACGTAGCCCATATTAATTTGGTAAATGTTCAGAATTAGGATTATGAATTTAGATACATTATATGAACTATAATCCATTGTTTTCCATAACAGAACAGTAATTCACAATGCAAAATGCAGATTCAAGTTTAGTTATGAACAAAAAAAAATAATGTATGACAAGGTTCAGAATCATTTAATCAATAATAAATACTGTCAAATTTTCAAAATAATCAATTCACGTTCAGTTTCATCAAAACAGTACATGTAAAAATGCAACATTCAAATAATGCTCTATAGGCATCAATTGCATCGTTCCCTCGGCTTCTGGCAAGTGCCAAGTGACCAACATGGCTAAAGAGATCAATCATACAACAATAATGTTTCATTGTTAGCCTGATACCGTAATGATACAATATGAAATATTCATGAAGTGAAAAATTTCTCAAAGATATAAATAAAAAGGAATTTAGTCCATCTAAAGGCACTCTTAGTTTTATATGCAGAGCATGCTCAAAACCAGGAATGACATGGCAAGCTCGATGTTTATATAAAAATCTCTAGAAAGTTTAGAATGCGAATATACTTAAACAAACTTCAAAGTTTTAATACCGAAATATACTAAATGAAGGGATTTTGTGAATCTAAAAAGCAGAGTAGCAAGTCATATATATGGGATTAGCACGATTTACCTCTCTCCTGAACCCAGTTGTTCTCTTATTTGCTGCTGGGCCAATACATTGTATTCATTTCAGTTATTGCACGAACTTCTGCTACAAGATCACCAACAAATTTCACAATTCCATAAACCTATTAACACACCCTTAACTGAAAGGTAATGGACCCTGAATGCCTCTTGTAGTATGTAGTCTGCAATATCTGCAGCCAGATCCCAACTAAAATGGCCCAATTCAATTGAAAGACCATCTCAACATTCAGCATCATTTGTGCAGTGTCCACTATATGTCTGATGAAGAACTTCATCAGCAGCTGCCTGCAACGCTTGTAAACTCAACAAAGTCATAACCCTGAAGTTGTCCACTTTGTTTATCCCAGATAAGCTTCACAGATTGAACATGCAAATCAATGCAAACATCACAATATGGTCAGGCAAAAACACAAAGTTGACAGCAGAAGTTGTTGTCATTAATCCATTATCACTGGAGCAAAAAAACCGAGTCACATATAGCTGCTATGTAACTGTTATATGGTCTGCAAAATTAGCACCCATGTGGAAACAATAAATAAGTAGAAACAATCAAACAAAACCTTCCAAAGCCCATAAATTAGAGAAAGTAACCTGTTCATATTTCTTGGGCACAGCTCTAGAAAAAAAATAATCAGAGATCAGATTGAACAAATATCTGCTGCCGCTAACAGGTCAACATCTATCCAGCCAAAAGCAAAAGGGTTGCAATAAAGTTAAGTGGAACCTGTATCATAAAGATTATTTATTCTTCGTTAAGCAAAATACAAAATGCAACTGTTGAATTGCAGTGTGATAAGATACTGAGCATGTTATGAATAAATTAGACTTCGTACACCTTTGCAATCAGCATTATTATGATCAAATCATTTCCAAATTGCTCTAAGAAAATGTATCTCATCAGTATCGCCCCGATAGAAATATATTTCCAATCAGCATTGCTCCTATCAAAATTAATTGAGATACATGCCGTGAAAAAGTATATAATCACATCCAAAGTTTAATTATAACGATAATATAATCATGTGTTTGCAGAAACCTAAAAAATATGGATTATACATAAATTGAGCTGTAAGAAGCATGCATGAACTAAAAGTAAAAAATATAGTTAGAATATGTATGCCTATTGCAAACTAAAATGCAATCTTAAAAATAAAATCATGTTTACCTTGAAGCCAATGTCACATGGATTGAAATTCAATCTTTAAGCTCAAAATAGGGTGGTAGGCTGAGGCGAGGAGACGATTGACCTAAATACCTACAGGCGCACAACTCAAATAACTCCCACCTTAGTACCTGACAATATCACTGGCTTATTTGGAGCAGCACATGACATCTGTTCTAACTTCTAAATCACCTTGCAGTGGCTGTCATTAATCAACCAAGTAATATTACCCTCCACTTAAGTGTTTACTTCCAGAGGCTCACATGAAGTAGTCACATTCAAAAATAAATATAAACATTACTTAACTGAACCTAACAAAGCACGTTCACATATTTTACTGTTAACCAAAAGAAAATGCAATTATTTTGCCTGATGATGTTAAAAAGAATGCAGAAGACAAGGAAAAATCTGAAACCAAATAAGCAAATATCTGCTACTGCTACTAACATGTGACATTAATTTACTCAAAAGGAAAAGATTAGACATTAAGTGGGATTGGAATTTTTTAATACATGTGTTCGTAGCGATTTAAATGCCAATACTGAAAAGTAAACTTTGATGAAAAAACTTTAAAAGTAAGTTTTGTATACAAGAAACGAAGGAGGGGGGGGGGGGGGGGAGTGTTCGGATCACCTTTTGGTTTTACTTTTACTGGGAGTTGCATGTTGCTCTGGAACTGAATTTGGCAAGTAGGGTCAGATATATGAACCTGAAACAATGCACATGTGAATTTCAAGGCTGAAAACTCTTACCTTGGTATATTTTGATTCCATGGTATAATATGTGAGAATGTACCAAAATTAGATAGAAGCCTTTATCTCAGCATGACACGAACAATGAATCAACAGCCTCGCAGTCCTGGCCGGGAGCAACTCAATGAGACCCTGCTCCTACCGCTGGCAGACTTACTGCTCCACAAGCTTCATACTGCAGGCCAAACAATTGTCCGGCTGGAACTCAACATAAATTCACCTTTGTCTTAGACAGGAGCAGCGAGGGAGATGTGATCAAGATGAGTTTGCGAAGGGGGAAGCAAGGAGTCGCGTTGGCGGCGCAGTGGACACCAGACATCGAGGGATCGACGGCGACCGGACAGCAGGAGATCCGGTGCCGGTGCTAGGCTGATGCGGGTCGACGGAGACCGGACGGCGAGGGATCGACGGTGGCCGGACTGCGTGGGATCGACGGTGAGGTGCGGTGCAGACACAAGGGCGAAGCGGCTCGACGGAGACCAGACGATGATGTATCGACGGTGCCCTGACAGGATCCGGCAACGGCGCGAGGCGGCGAGGGAGAGCCAGCGGGGTGGTGCTGGAAGGGCAGCGGCGGAGAGGGCGCGGGGAGGACAGCGCTGGCGCACGGCGTTGGGAGGACGGCGTGCGGCGCGGGTGCGGAGTGCAGCGGCGGAGGGAGCGGGCGCGGGTATGGCATCGCCGGCGCGCGGTGCGGGGAGAAGCCGCGGAGTGGAGAGCATGGTGTGAAAAACCGCCGGTAACCGCGCGGTTACCGCGGTTACCGCCCGTACCGCGCGGTAAAATAAAATTCGTCCAAATTTAAAAATTTAAAAAAAAAGAAAAAAATCAAAAAAAATAGTGAAGGTAGTGCTTGATTTATAGTGTTTTATGGTGAAGAAATTTCTCAAAAAAGAGTAATATTTATTCAAATTTGAGAGCAAAACGGAGAATAAATTTGAAAATTGGAAAAAGAAAAAAGAATGGGCCGGCCCGTTACTGTGCAACCCATTACACATCGCGCGGTAACCGCGCCAAACCGCGTGGTTACCGCGTCAAACCGCGCGGTAACCGCGCCAAACCGCGCGGTTTGCCCGAATTTTTGAATTCAAATTTCGATTTGTAAATTTGTCGTGGTTTTGCGCGGTTACCGCGGTTACCGCCGGTAACCGCCGTACCGCCGGGTGGCGGTAACCGGGCCCCGGCGGTTTTTGAAACCCTGGTGGAGAGGTCGTTTGTTCCCTTCTCTCTCTCATCGGAAGGGGGGAAACTATCGCTGTAACCGCAGATCAGCACGTGGGAATCGCTAATTGCAGGTGTTGATCCAACTTTTGATATAAACCGTTGGATGAACGGATCTAAGGGTCAGAAGAGAGAGGTGTTGGATGAACTGGTGCTTTTTATATTGGTATAGATATATGATGGTGCAATTTGGACATGTAAAATGGCAGGTGTTGTCTATCGATAAAAATATTCTTTCATACTTGAATTTATAATTTTTATTTCGACACAATTAATTTGCTTTAGCTATGTATATTTATGGAATAATATATAGAATGCCATAATATATATTGATAGTTTTTTTATCGTATTTCGTTGCTATTTGGATGACATGTAAAATGCATGGATCGACTATTTCTGAGTGATATATATCTAATATAGAAAAGTATAGGCATATGGACCTTAAATTATTCATTTAATTATAAATGGAAAAACAGTTATAATAGAAATTAGACATGTACTCCAAATTTATTATCATTTTAAAATGTACAACTGTTGATTGTTTCTCTTCTAGTTTGATAGCTAAATAATTGAAAGGGGGAGAGGAAATAGATCCGTCGATAATGGTTGAAAAATAGATGTAATTTACATGGAAACTGATGGTATATTATTTCTCTTTTTTCTTTCAATCTTTTCTATTTTTGAAAACATGGTGCATCATGATTTAAGAGTGTTTTATAGGACGTTTAACATATCTTTATTATTATATACAATGATTTAAGATGATATAATACATATTGATTTTTTTTAATATTTGATTGTAATTTGGTTATAATGCTGATAGGGGGTCTATGTTGTATTTTAATTTTGACATGTGGTGATTTAGAGTGCTTTTGAGGATATTTAATGAACAATTAATGGATTTTTATTACGTAGAATGATTTAAGATGATATAATACATATTGTCAATTTTTTATTGTTTCATTCATATGTAGTTACTACACAAATGATAGGATGGAGGTATCTATGACATGTTTCAATTTTTACAAAGTAATATATATGTAATATAGATCTTGACTTATTTATTTAATTATAAATAAAGTAACAATTAAAATAAATAGAAAAATAGATATAAGCTATGTAACTATTAATTTTTTAATATACTAGATGAATATCCCGCCATGTTGCTGCAGAAAATTAAGTTGCATTATATGTACAAATAAGATGTAATTTGTTTATCAAAACTAAAACAATTTAATACAATTTTAAGCCTAAAAATAATTGAGATTGCATGTTTTTAATAGAGAAGACAGAAGAGACAATTTGGACCATAGATCTATCATCCAAAAGCTAGAAATAATTGGGGTGATGTGGCTTAATAAGAGAAGAGAGAAATAGCATTAACTACACTTAGTGGGGATGAAATAAGTATATAGGATTAGGTTGTTAATTTGAAAACAATAGAGGAGATAATTGAATGGGAGTTGAGAGGAGGGGAGGCGACAGTACATGCATATGGTAGGATGAGGTAGTGCATCAGTTTGTTTTTTTTTAAAATGTATTTATTGGGTACATTGGCAGAGGAAGTGGGGGGAAATATTTTTAAATGAATGTGCTGTTTCTTGTGAGTTATTTAAACCTAATAAAGGGAGTAATTGTTAGCACTATTTGACTGAGGAAGGCGTAAAAATACTATAGGCCTTCTTTGTTTAGGCTTAGGTTTATTGGTTTAGGTTTTTAAGTCAGCTTACTGGCTTATATGATTTATAAGCCTGTGGATTGAATGCCCTAAGTTTAGTGGTGAGGTTATACATCTACCTCCCATAAGCAAAAAAAAAAAAAAAAAAAACTTCTCCAACTTAGCTATTAGATTTTTGACTTAATAGTGTTAGAGTGGCTTATGGCTTCAAAAAGCCAAACGAAAAAGCTGATTGTTTGTTTAGGCTTATAAGCCTAAATAAAGAGAGTCATAATATGGTTGATGTGATAAGTTTTAAACTAAAATATAATTAATATGTGATGCAATATTTTTTAATAAATAAAATAGATGTGCCTTGTTTTATATAGTCATCTATAAAGATCGATATGAAAGGCATAAAAAACTATAATATGGTTCTATGTGATAATTTTTAAATTAAAATATAATTAATATGTTAATATTAGAGATAAGATGGATATGCCACGTTTTAAATAGTCATCTATAAGGATAAGGATAGATAGTTTGTTTTTCTATATCGTATTCGTATGTACCTATGTAGTATTTTTCTGTCAAATAGTGTATATGTTTTTTTTTTTGCCTTTTTCTCGGGTACGTACGTATATATGCATTTTTTTCGTTTTTTCTTGCAGCCTTTTTTTTTCTTGGATCCGTTGCAGGAGAAGTGGAAGAAAAGCATATGTACACAAATGGCCCAATGGGTGGGGAGTGGTCGAGTGGTGGGGATCTAGTAGGTTGATGGGCATTTCAGGCCCATAATTTTTTTAATTTTAATTATTATAGAAAAAAAGTCCGTGCGTTGCAATGGGTAAATACATTTTTCTAGTGATACAACATCTATTATGAAATGATCAATAATTTGAAACATCAGGATTGCTTTACACTATAATTGAAAAGATTAATAAAAAAAATTCTTAGTTTTGAGCCAAAAGCCCATTACTTTTTTTCCTTTTCATCCCAAGCACGGTCCGATGTCTCCTACCTCTCTCTGCTCTGACTGTCTCTCTTCCGTCCGGTTCGGTCCACAAGTGGAACCTAGACCCAGCTAGCACAATGGTTCAGAGCTTTTGATTCACTCGATCTAGTTGAGTCTTTTTTTTATCTCCCAACATTGGTTGAGAGCTTTTGATCCACTCGATCTCCTCTTTTCGTTTGCCCCAAATCGGAGCAAATCCGCAAAACTCGGGACAAAAAGGGATTGGGGAAGCTCGTCGGTCGGTCATCATTGCCGACCATTGAACGAAGATTAAATCCGGCGAATTAAAGTCGAATTGAAAGGGGAAATCATGGAGGAAACAATGAGGGAGGAGTGGGGAATCGATTTTTGCAATCAACGAAAAGAGAAAACGCACGGGGAGGTAGATCGATGTGGCGGCGGCGTTAGGGGTCGGCCTAGGCGGCGGCTGGAGATTAAATCCGGGAAAATTAAAGCCAAATCAAAAGGGGTAGGGAATCGATTTTTTAATCAATTGAAGCAGGAAACGTATCAAGGTGGCGGATCGGGCAATATACAAAGTGACAAAAAAATATAGTGCGCAGCATGCGTGCGGAAAAATTGGATGAGATCCAAAAAAAGGGTTGCGGGAAACACCGGAAAAAAAATCAGAGCGGGATAGAAAAAGAAAACAGCGAAAAAATGGACGAAAAATAGTACGAGAAGCCTTACTTATTTTTTAAATAGGTATAGGTATTGATATAGATTTAGCAAACAACGTTGAAAATATATTAAGAACAACTTCAAAATTAAATTTTAAAAATCAAAATTTTCTTATTAAGACAATCAATTCTAAAAATTCAGAATTTTCTTACTAAGGCAATCAATGGGACTCCTTGTGCCATGATGGAAGCTTAAGGGTACGAACAAAAACAAAAACGAAGAGTCCGTATGTATACGTTGTAATCCTATTACCAATCTCTTGTTTAGTGAGTTCACAATAAAAAAACGATTTGCTTTGGGTGGCCTTCAGTTGTAACGGGTTGGGTTTTAGATTCTACAGTCAGGAGGACGTGTCATTCAGTGTCTGGTTCTAGTACTTTTTGTTGTGCCATGCATGCATGGTGGCCATGGACCAAAATCGTGCACGTAGTGTCCGACAACGATGGATCTCGGATTACGGCTTTTACGCGGGCCTCGTGCTGCTTCATGTGTGAGCGAATCGGACACATGCGACGACGTACGAAGCCATGGCAAAAACATCTTAAACTATTTTTTATAATAGGTAAAGATAAAGATATGGGGATGAAAAGGAGAAAAAAAAGAAACGGAGGTTAGATGGATAGTACTTACGCTGCTGCGGAGGGATCGTACTTACGTTGGGCAGAGGGATATTTTGTTTCCCTCTAAAGATAAATCTAACGATTAATTAAAACTAATGGGTCTACCAATTTAAATAAAAATCGACAGTCAGATTTATAGGATGTGACATGTCCACCAATTAGAATGACATGTGGCGACTCAAGAATGTTTATAGAATGACACATGGCAGCTTAGGAGCGTTTGTAGGAAGTTTAATGAGTTTTTAGTATATAATAGATAGATAGATATCACACAAATACAAATATTTGGGATTACCTAATCTAGTCTCTGCTTCCTTGAATATAGACTCAGCGAGATTGGAATTGTCTTGTATTGGCTTGTCTTCGGCTCTCCCCCTCTCCTCTTTGGAGAGTTTTATATTATATCTTTGGGTGCCCTGTAGTCCCGGTAGAACTAGATAACTAAGTATGGATAAGATTCGAATAGTCCCTGTAGTGTTTGAGTAGGATATGGCTTTTCTTTCCTTGTCCGGAACTCCTTCCATATATGAGACATGATT